CCTGTGGCTGGTCGAACGGGGGATGTGCACACGCTCAGGGAGTGCGGCATTAAAATAAACCAAAACTGACAGCAGGGGAGAGGAGCCACCTCCACCACTGGAGCTAAATCCGCCTGTGACCATTAATCAGGCCCCTAAAAATATATTACTCTGTTTCATCTAAACCCACAAATCCACTGCCTAAAGAATTATCAGAATAAATACTTCTAACAGTGAGGACCATGTAAATCACTCATGTGTACGAGCAGAGCTCCAAAAGTGCTCCAAAGGCAATTTTTTTCCCCTACAGAACAAGTTAAGCCTGCCAACAGTAGCCTTTTCTCTTAGCTACCTTTCTCAAGTAGCTAGCATGAACACCACGCACACGCTGTATATAGCCCGATTTTTGTAAAACCTGACAGTTTCCAAAGAGACATTTAAAATAAAGGAGATTTCCTAACTCAAAATCAGTTATGGTTAAGTGGTACCCTATACACATATATATTCTTTTCCTCAGCATGTTGCCTGTAACATCAGTCTGCGTTTGACAGACGAAATTTGGACTTGAGACTGGAAACTTAGATGAAGAAACTAGATCTGCTGTTTATATGGCATTATAGCATCTTAATCAAAACAGCATTAGAATACCCTGAATTCATCCTGTTTAGCAGGAAACGTGAAACAAAACAAAGAGATTCTGCCTGTTGGATTTTTTAACTATGGAGGGAGATGCCATCAGTTACTTTTTTTTTTTTTTTGCTGCTGTTTTTTCTTCAAACTCTGGCTCGCACTAGACTTTGTGAGAAGCAGGGTTTCCTGCCTCACCCTCCAAAGTTAAGAAATCATAAATTAGATTACAGTCATTAAGGAAAAAGAAAATGGCATTAGAAGCAGGGAGGAAGGGGGTTGTGAAATTGCTGTACTAACCACAGCTTGAATTTGTGGCTGTAGCTGAGTAGTCACTTGAAGCCATCAGAAACCAGAGCTGCTACAGAAAAAGTCATTGCGACCCTCTTGCAGGGGGAGACCACGCAAGTGCTGGCGCTGGCACACGCAAGGCGAGGAGAGCAAAGCACCTGGTAGATGAGAGCAGGATTTTGGAGATTAACTTGCAGGAAATAAAATTCAGGTGGCTGTAAGGGAATTCTCTTGGCTTTTACATTGAGTGAAGCATGGAAGGAAGAGGGTGGTACTTCACTCGTTAGCATGGTGAGATTAAGAACGGATGAGATAAATCGCTCCTGTGTTTTCCTTAGGCATATCCCACCCCATTGCTCTCCCTGCGACCACAGAGGTTGCACGATGGAGTTCATGGTGGTTGCTGCTTTGAGAGTTTCAATCAAAATACAGCTGAGTAATGCAAATATTTTTTCATGTGGTATCACGCATGAAGTCCTGGGTGGCCACTTGGTGGTTTCTGTCCCCACGCTTGCTGGTCACCAAGGTGATCAATTTTGTGGTCCCTCAAGGGCCTATATTTCTTTGGTGATATGTGTGCGTTGGTTATTATTTTGGTACCTTTGGGCTTGAGCAGGGTCAGATCCCCTTTTCCAAGGCACTATATAATTGCTACTGACGGACAACCAGGGATAATAAATTTAAAGAGACCAAACAGATGAAGGGAAGGATGATATAAGGTTTAAGCAAATGGCAGTGGGACAGAATTAATACAGCTTTGCTAAATATATGCTTTCCCTTGATTTCATGTTTAACTTAGGGCTACGATAAGGGCTGGAATAGGCAGCTGATTGATAGGAAAAAAGTTCTCGCCCTGCGCCCTCAAACTTGTATATTCCTCCCAAAGCATTTGCAAGCATCTTAAATGCTTCCTTTACCTGTGCTGCCTCAAACACGCACCCAGAGGTAGCGCTTGTTGGTATCTGCCCTAAAAAGCCATGATGCCAGGAGACTTCAACGATTATCTCAGCTTACTGTGAGCTATAAGCACTATTTCTCCTCATTTTTTTCTGTTATAAAATAACTAAATTAGAAGGGTCTTCTTTCAGGAACTAATGTTATTATGTCTCTTCCCTTCTATCCTTAATAACCTCTGATGCTGAAGCTTTCGTGTGCCCAGGCAATAGCACAGCTTACCAGGATGCTCGTTCCAAAAAGATGAGGCAGATGCTCAGATCCCTTTTCTAACGGACCACTCAGCCCGTCCTGCTCCCTCAGGCTTTTAATCCAGGGCATCAGTGAGAAGGAAGCCCCCCCTTACCCAGGGCTTTTGGCAGCTGCCGGTGGTGGCAGTAACGTGGGACGAGAAGGGCCTTTGCACCAGGCTTGCCCCAGCGGACACCCCGCTGGCTCGGAGATCTCCTCTGAGACCTGCTCGCTTACTAAGCAGGGTCGAAAATTGTCCTTACTGGCACATGTAAAGATTTCAGTATCTGCAAGCTGCAAGAAGAGAAACCTGGAAGGCTCCCACCACATGGCAAATGATATTCTCTCTGGCTGTCTCTGTCTCTCAAGACATTCGAGCAGGCTTAACAAGCCACTAGGGACTGAAACAATAATATCGCTGTATCTAATGCTTACTGAAAGCAAAAGATGGATTACAAAATAGACTGTTTATTTTTAATTATTCATGTGTTTGAACTAGAGAACCTTCACGGAGTTATGCATTGTTTGGCATGGATGAGACGAAGATGAACCGC